TTGAATACTGACTTAATTAGGCCACCTAGTCGTCAAATTACACATTAATGTTTTCTTTAACACTGTCTTTCAATGACTTAATTATTATTATTGATAGTGAGAAACGTTTACACAGTTATTCCGATATTACTCAAATTTTACCTGATTGACCGTGAAAATTACTTTAAAGGTCAAATGACAGAGGAGACCTCTATCCTCATTCTAACCCTCATTTTTATGTAGGGTTGGTTGATGATGGATCTTTGCTTTTAAGAACAACAACATCTATATATACTATGGAGCAATTTATCTATAAAACCGATGCCCAGTTAAGCAATAAAACAAATAAAAAAACAAAACAAAAAACTGGTACATAAGTACTATGAGCCGTTGAATACTGACTTAATTAGGCCACCTAGTGGTCAGATTACACATTAATGTTTTCTTTAACACTGTCTTTCAATGACACAATTATTTGTTCTTTTTTTATACTGAGAAATTTTATCTTTACACGGTTATTTAGACATTACTCGAATTTTACATAAATGACCTTGAAAGTTACTTTAAAGGTCAAAAGCCAGGGGTGACCTTTATCCTCATTTTAACCCTCACCTTATGTAGAGTTGGTTGATAATTGGTGCCTGCTTTTAACAACAACAAAATAAATAAATAAAAACCACTTTTATGCATATTTTTCTGGGCTGACAGATCAACTTGACTAGAACAGGTAAGTGAGAAGTGATGAAAATTATTATTATTATTACCATATCAAATACCAGTACTGAGTAAATAATTTGTTAGTTAATTGACCCCGAAAATCATGCTGGATATAATTGAAGTTGCGTATGTATGTTGTCAGACGTTTGTTTGTTTTATTTTCTTTAGAGCCTTACTGTGACTTTTGCCCGTTAGTTTTGTTGTTTTTTCAGTGCAAAAACTACAGAATATGCTATCTGCACCCTGTTCTCCGTGGAGAATCGAGTTTCTGATTCTAGCGTTGTAAGTCGTTTAATTACCATTGACCTAGCAGAGCCCAGGTTTTGGTATTGATTACAATTGAAACTATTTTTGTCATCATATTGATTCTTGCAAATATTATAATCAAAACACAAATAATCACAAAAAAAATAAATATTTATTAATGTCTAACTCTATATAAAACAATTTTATTTTTCAACAATATACTTAGAAATCCCAATACAATAACTAATATAACCCAACACCAACACAAATTAGCAACGCCTTCAGCCCGAAAATAAAATACAATTACAAATTAATTAACAAACATAAAATATTTTACAAACACACAGGGAACTTTCAAATTTGGATGACAAGCAGAATAAACAATTATATAGATTAGAAAAACAGAATGGCGCGACAGAAATGAAGATAAAACCGCCTGATCTGTACTGAATCTGGTATTGAACAGTTAAATAACGTAACCTTTAGTTGTGTTTCAGTTTAATATTTACTAGTGTTATTTATCAAGGCGGGGAATCATATCCACCATAAACACTGCGAAACGTTACATCAGCACTTCCATAGATGATCTGTGAGGGATTGGTGTTATTTGGTACCGGAAACGGAAGTTGGTCATCCATCTGTTTCTTTCGTTTGTTCTTCCTGTGCCACCGGTAATAATAATAACCCCCAACAAATAGGCTTAAATGCAATAACGATAATGTTATGGCAGTTGCTATGATTGTGGACTGGGAAGTGCAAACCATATCTGATTCTTCTTCTAAGCCTGTAAAATAATAAGATCAATTACTTTAAATTCATACAAGTTCATATTTCATAAACACGTGAATATTTGTAATAAAACTGGTTTCTTTATTTTTTTTCCTTCAATTAAATTCTTATAAAATTGTCGAACCACACTATTCTCCAAGGTTCACCAAAGTCGTTTATATATTTAACTATTTTTTCTCTCACGTCCGTTTTGATAATGTATAAATGTAACAAATTAACAGTTTCGATAGTTAACATGATAAAAAGAAACTGTATCATTCGCCATCTTCTCACATTTTTCCTCTCTCACTTACGTCGTATAGAAATGAGTGGCAAAAATATTAAACGTTTTCATCTTAAATATTATATTTTTTATCGTTTTGTTTCTTCAGCATTTTAAATCGGGTGCTAATTTAACTATCATAAAAATATTTTATTTTATTTGTGTGGTGTACTTCCACAGGACGTCTAATCTTACTAGGCCTAATTTATTATTAAATATAATGCCCTCTATCTTGCTACCAGAAGGCGTTTAATAACAAAATTTACTCTAATTAATAATTCACGGTTTAACTGATTTTCTTCATAATTTTAAATAGTTTAATATCTTTCCAACAGTTACGATGATTAATGTTATTTGTACTATATAATACCGCATAATGGTGTACAAGCTTTGTTTAACATTAATATTTCTGTAAATTTTTTGTACACAAGGTGTTACTTATAATCTGCAAGTTAGCTTAGTCTTGTTTTACATTAATTTTTATGTAACACTAACATCTAAAAGCTATTACTACTACAGCGTAGCTCTTAATTTACTGACCAAATGGCGCTGAGTAGCGGGTGTGGCTCCATGGTTCTTGAGGTTCAGGATCTTCTCCCACAGTTATAGCTAGAGAAAGAGGAATTTCTTGAGGAACAGGTCTTTGCGTAATTGCAACTATTTCTTTAGCAGGTGTTCCATTTTGAAACTCTGAAATCATTCCTTGTTGGCTGTGATAATCCTCTTCCCTGTCGTCATCTTCCCAATGTTTTTGGACGCCATTTTTGTTAGAATAGGGATTGTTCTGTAGATAAGAGGCCGTCTTACCGAATGGAGATTCATTCCAGGTGCCACTACCCTGGAATTCACTGTAGATATCGTGATCTGGCCAGGAACTTTGTTGGTTCACTGACTTGTTATGCTGTTGACTTGTTACACTACTTCCCGTTCCGTATGGTATACTATAAGAACCATCGTTAGAAGATCCAGCTCGTGCGTTTCCTGGTTGATTATCAAAATCCTTTGGAACCTGTTCATGTTTTTCATTGGTATTTTTGTATGGTGACTCACTTTGAGGATAATTAGAACGATTATCGTCCTTCTTCAGAATAATATCTTGTTGATATGATGAATTTTCGACGTCTAAAGGATAATCCACAAGACTACCATTTTCCTTCGAAAGATTATCTTGTTCATACCTTTGTCCATAGACTCTGTCAAACGGTGAATCCCTTGGAGGGTAATCTATTCTGGATGCGTTTGAGGTTTGATTTTTTGAAATTTCGAATAGCGGTTTTACAGTTGTCGAGCTTGTAGTCTGAACAGTTGAAATTGAGGACATCGTCGATATCTCACTTTCATTCAGATAGTCACGTGGTTTTAGTTTTAGTTCTGTAGCTTCGATAACAGCACTATGAGGAACCATTACAGGATATATGTTTAATCCAGTATCAGACTGAGACATTTGACCATTGCCTTCTGATGGTTCATTGGAAATCTGAGAATGTTTAGTTGAAAAATGATTAGAACCAACTACAAGTTCCTTCGTATCTCTTTTTCGTCTACCATACGATTGAACGTTGTTGGCACAGCGTACCTGAAAAGTGAAGGTTAATATCCGTCAGTTAACACGTTATTTGTGCAATGTATGGTTCTCAGAGCGACTCGTTGTGTACAGGTCTTAAAATCACATATCTTAATAATCTAATATTCAAGCACTTAGCATATAATTCACAACTTGATGATTCTAAACTGCTGACATGAAATCAGAAATGAAATTTTTACAAGCTAAAAATTAATACTTGTATAAGTATTTCTTGTGAAGTCCGCCGATGGGAAGACGATAAGTTTACGGACTTACAACTTTAAAAATCCGAAGTTTGATTCCCGCGGTGGACACAGCAGATAGCCTACTGTTTAAAATGCCATTAAATTGTTTTGTTGCGTAAAATTCGTTGATTATTACTTGACTAATAAGTTTAATCACTTGATTGATCTGTACAGTTTTGATTGGATTCTTCCAAAGCACGAGTCAAAAGAACTTTCCAGACTTCTAGAAATTCTTTCGCTAATATTTAATCTCGGTTATAAACAAAAACTTCTTTTTAGAAGGGCGCAGTGATTCTATCTCAAATATTGGGTGTTAGAAAAGGTTCGTAAATAAGAAAGACGACGTCACATCTCATGTGATATAGAAACGTGCTTGAAATATTTAAAACAGTTCCGTATGGTCTTAATAACAAAGGACGACCATCTAGGTCGCAGCTGTACAGAAACAGTATGAAAATATAAATCAAGATATATTGTGACTTACATTGGTCCTGAAGAAACTTGAACATATAATATTAGAAAAACTTAGTATAGATATAGGTCAGGAAGACAATGACGATTTGTTGGATCAAACTGACAGAATCTCTTACATGGTGTTATTAATTGTAGCTTAGAAAAAACGACACAACGAATCACATTCATCCTGACAGAAGCTCTTACATGGTGTTAATAATTCTACTTTAGAAACAAAAAAGAAAAAGGCGACTTACTGGATCACATTGATTCTAACAGAAGCTCTTATATGGCATTAATAATTCTAGTTTAGAAAAAGACGAGTTACCGGATCATATTCATCCTGACGGAAGCTCTTAATTGGTGTTCTTAAAATTCGAGTATAAATATAAATAAGAAAAGTAGACGATCCATTTAACCCTAATCGAAACTCTTATATATTGTTACTAAAGCTCAGTATAGACATAAGTAGGAACAAAAATGACCTACTGGCTCGCATTGTTCTTGACAGAAACGTATCTGGACTTCAAAGTTGACCCTTCCAGTAGACGGAAAGCGAAAAGCTTTAAAGTTTCCAAAGAGCGATTTTCGGTTCCTTGTGTTGAGCTGAAGGGCTGGGAAGATTGAAGAATCAGTTGGGCACCTGTAAATTATTCAAATTAATACGAATGTTTTTTGTTTTTTCTAAACAACAATCTGTTATAGAGCTTACTCACCTTATTACCAGAGCTCCAAGTTGTTCTATACTTACCCATTGCTGTCAATAAGGAACAGTGACTCTCCGTTAGAGCTCCGAGCGTAGAGATTTCGTGCAAAAATTGCATAAGTAGCTAAAAACAGAAAACAAAAAAAATATATTACGGACTCAATATAATACAGAATTGAAAGGAATAAGCGTAAACAGAAGATTCTGTAAATGATATAAAAATCTAACAAATTTCCTAGTATAGTAAAATACCCATCATGTTGTGTGTGACGCTCAAACATGTGGTATTTTAAGGCAGTGTACGTTTTAATTTATATGAACAAGCTTCGAGTAATCTATGTGTAAGATAGTGTACGTTTTAATTTATATGAACAAGCTTCGAGTAATCTATGTGGTAGATAGTTTATCTCTTAATTTATATGAACAAGGTTTGAGTAATTTATGTGTAAAATTGTATACGTCTCAATTTATATGAACAAGCTTCGAGTAATATTTGTGTAAGATAATGTACGTTTTTAATTTATATGACAGGCTCCGAGTAACTTATGTGTATGATAGTATACGTCTCAGTTTATAAGAACAAGCTTCGAGTAATCTACGTATAAGATAGTGTACGTTTTAATTTATATGAACAAGTTTCGAGTAATCTACGTGTAAGATAGTGTACGTTTTAATTTATATGAACAAGCTTCGAGTAATCTACGTGTAAGATAGTGTACATTTTAATTTATATGAACAAGCTTCGAGTAATCTATGTGTAAGATAGTGTACGTTTTAATTTATATGAACAAGCTTCGAGTAATCTATGTGGTAGATAGTTTATCTCTTAATTTATATGAACAAGGTTTGAGTAATTTATGTGTAAAATTGTATACGTCTCAATTTATATGAACAAGCTTCGAGTAATATTTGTGTAAGATAATGTACGTTTTTAATTTATATGAACAGGCTTTGAGCTAGCTATTTGTCAAAACCCAAACTATCTTTGTAACTAATGCAACATTAAATTATAAAATTATTGGTTTAATTTACTTACGTAATAACAATCAGGTAGTTTTCAAGATTGACTGTAGAATAACGAGTAATAACTTAGTGAATGCTTGATCACATAAAGGTCCACTTACTTGCCAAGTCCATCAGGTCAATACGTAGCTCAAGCTCATCTCCTAGGCCTACGACCTGAGCGTCTCTTCCTGATGGGTCAAGTATTCTCATTGCGACGTTAGGTGGTGTTGCAGTGTTTGTTACAATAGAAGAAATGGAAGGTCGACGAGTTCTAAAACACCAAAAGTACAAATTATTTCAAAACATATTGTTAGAGGTTAATTTAACATGTTAAATCTGGCTTTGTTCCTGTCATTGAATACTTTCACAATATATATTTGAACGGTTTTCCATCTCTCTCGTTCATTATATATCTCACCTCACCTGCTATAATTTTTCTTTTATATTTTTCAAAAACATTTTATAATAGAATTGATCTAAATACACGCAATACGTATTCTTAATTGAGTTAAAAATTATAAATTACACATTTTTGTAAACAATTAGAAAAACAAAATCATATTTTCTTACGTCACTTCTACACCTTTCTCTCCATTTGGACCAAACGCTTCCATGGTAACTGTCCGTTCTCCTGTCTCAAAGGAGCAAACTACTCGGATAGTTCTGTCTGTATCCATGACGATGATTGGATGTTGTTGGACCACCACTTCATTTGCATAAGTTTTCAATCCCTGAATTAAATTAACATAAATGATAGTCCAGAGTTTTTGTATCGTATAAACGTAAATAATAAAATCGATCAATTCAGATTGAATATTTGTCTCTTACCTAAGATTATTTAATCTACCAAACATATTTAAATTTCCCTATTAAATGGATTTGCACGACGGTAAGATAGTACTTTCTCTATTTTAACAAAGCCTACAAATAAAGAAAAAGCAAATAAAATTAATTTATTGAATATATAAAAAAATTGAAATATTTTATACAGAATAAATTATTTTTAAAAATTCAGTATTAGGTTCGCTTTGATTTACATTATTACAGTTGTGATCGAGTGATTCTGAAATGTTTAGTAATTTTAAATAAATAATTTAAAATGTTTAATAAACACTACTTTTTTATGTTATAACACACATTAAGTGCTGTACTGAAAACGTTCATGCTTTTATATTAGAAAGAATTAAAGTTTTTTATGGTATTAGCATCACATCTTTATTAGAGAGCATTCAGTATTGCTGATTGTAAAAAAAATCTAATACTTACCGAATATTTTACTGATATATGTGATTTCTGTACAGAAAAAAAATTGACAACGCATACCAAAGTAAGAATTTTTAACTAGCGCGATCTTCCATTTTAAAATGATTAATTAAGTGAAAACACGAGTTTGATTCTTCTTAATGTTACACAAATCATAAAAACATTTGATTTGGCTTTAAGATATTAATATGTCGCTATTTTGTCTTATTGGTCAATAATGGCATTAAGTGCGATGATGTTAAGCGACTGCTTGGGGTCTTGTGCTTTATAAGACCCACGCTCCAATACGTTAAAAAGATATATCTGAAATTAAGAAAATCACGATTTTTACATATATGAAATAGACAGCCCCCCCCAAACTCTTTGCTGCCTATTAGTGAACTGTATAATCTGAATAGCCAAATTTAACGGGTCCTCGCGCTAAGGCTAGCACTATGATGGGTACTGTCGGAGATGTCGGCTTTGAAATACTATGTGTGTGAACAAGAAAAGGGTTTCTAATTCTCCCCACTTACAATCACGTTGTAGACAGCTGGATTGGTTCTGCAGTTCACTACTATTATACTGGTTGGCAGTGTTTCTACATTCCCTGGAAGGTACTGAAAAATTGTTAAAACCTTCTAAAATATCCTGGAAAGTTGAAATAGTCTATACTGTGATCGCTACATGTGGTAAAGATGTGTGCAGATGCGAGCATACATAGTTAGTTAAATAAGACTTGTTTCTTTTCCAGAGACCAGAAGAGGTTTGGTGAGCACCACTTTCTGTGAAAAGCTGGAGCCAATATTTCATTCACATAGATCCTCTCAAACACTTCTAAGGTGGCAAACTTTCTGAGAAAGCCACAAAGAGATTTTTAGAGGGTTATTTCTAATGCTAACCCTATCTATAAAACATAGGCCAATAAACGAGCCAAAACAAACAAACAGAAATCAATATCTACATTCAGAAAACATATAATAAAAAGAAAGACAATTATCATCAATCAGAGACGTAATTAGATACTTAGAGGACCTTCGCAATTCACATCAGGGGTTTTAGTGATAGATGTAAAAGGGTGTAATGGCAGGAGTTCTGATATTTATGGGAAATAAAGAAAGGTATGTCATTTTCATGTTCTTATTCCAGCAGTTGTAAATACATGTAATCAGTTATAAATGTGAAAAAAAAAATTGTCCTGGTGCCAATTTCATGTGTATAGAATATTTCTAAGTTGCCTATATTTCTAAGATACCCAACAGATTTCGTAGGAAGGGGCATTGTTGGGTGTGTGCCAGGAGGTAGAGCTAGTCAATGTTAAGGCAAGAAATACACCCATAAAGAAAGAACATCCTCTCACAGAACATTTAACTGACTTCTATAAGAAGAACATAGTCCATTTGTCATCATCACATGCTTTTCAGGTTAGGGAACTTTTGGTTAATTGTGCAGATGTCTTTTCAATAGGAGATCATGTCCTTGGCTGCCCAGACCTTGTGGAACACAGAATAAACACAG